AAAAGAGGTACGTGAATGGTCCGCGTTCGTCGGCTAGACGTTCGGTGGCGACAGCAGCTTGGACGCTCTCGAGGGTCTGAAATGGCGTCGATCCAATCGTCGTCATCTACCGGCACTTGGGAATGCAAGGATGGGAGGTGTGTGTCAATAATTGGAGACTGTTGCGACATACGCGAAACTGCGCACTTCTTTGGTGCTCCCCAAGGTTGCTAGCGGTTGCTGAAGTGGGTCTTTTTATACTGTAGATAAAACTAAGCTTAGTTTAAAATGTCGAACTTTTTTCGTTGTGTCCGATTGGTTGAGGAACTTGATCTCAGCAGCGCGACCCGCAGGATAAGGTGCTGGCGCGGCCACTCGTGTTGGGCGGGGGTTGCTAGCGGTTGTGGATGAAACGTACTTCAACGAATTATGCTGATGGCGTCATGTGCAATGCTAGCGTTGACGATCGCGTGGGACTGCAATGACGTGGGAGGCTGCCGTGCCACCAACCCTTGGGTGTGAATTGCAACCTGAAAAGTGATCGGCATGCGTGTCAGTCAAATCAAACGGTTCTTTGGAGGCAGCTTTAGACCATGAATTGCTCCTGTACCAGAATGCCCGGGGGCATCGACGGGTGTAGGTCTTATCGACAGAAACGTCCTAACTCTAGTGCAAATTAGGTGTCAAAAGGTAGTCAGGGTAGGGCTAAACGCCGACAGCTGACCAATTAGTGATCTTTTGTTCGCCTCCGACGTCCCAACGCTCTACCACTGGCTTTGCAGTTTATGACGAATCAAATGCGCAGAAAACTTGGCCCTGTTTCCTCAAAACGTTAGCAGGCCGATAGCGGTACATACTATGACCGATCTGACCTCATGTCATCTCACCAAGTGTGCTACACCCATCGCGAATGATGCTCTCCTGTCGTAGTCAGCGTGCCGGTCTGGTTATGCACCTCGATTCGGACAAGACAGAGTAGGCTGCTAACGAGCTCTAGACGCCTCCGCTTGGTCGCTCAAGTAGCTCGCTCGTGTATCGTTCCAACCTCCTGTATGTGTTGGCTAAACTCTAAAAAAATCTAGACCCCATCAAATATTGGCGGCTGCCTGGGTTTGAAGTCGTGGCCATGCGTTCTTAACGGGGCTTTTCGATGCCTTCCGCGCCCAAGGCACAATTCTGCAACTCAACGAATCAACTGGTTAATCTGAAGCCCAACTATGTCTGTTCGAGATACGTTTATGCTGTGCCCTTCACAAGAAGTGTTCGGGTAGCCCCACACAGGACTCAACTCTGTGTCCCTGTTGTGGCTCGATACGGCCGGTACGTGATTGCATGATTACAGTTTAACGACCCGGTTTGTTCGAAGGGTTGTAGGCAGGGCTGTGGCGGCGACTTCACAAAAGCACTAGAGTTTGTAATGTCGTAATGTGTTTCTTCAATCGCAGTACGTGCGTTCCTCACCCTATTTTATTCCGGAGCATTTTGATCCCGCACAGTGGATATTTCCTCCACGCCTTTGTCGCTCGGCTGCGGTGAATATTTGTGTTGGCTGTGATGAATATAAGTAAAAGATGTTATTCCATGTAGTCCAAACGTTCGCATGTGTGGTGTTCTCTG